TACAGTCATTCATTATAAAATAAACTGACTGAAACAGCCAAGAAAACATTGCTCACCCACTAACACTGAGAGCTAATTTGCTGCAGGACTCCAATACATGGACCAGCTCATCAGAAACTGAAGAATTCTCCAACATTAATATACTGCCTGCCTCTATTTCCAGCAGTTCACTGTCATGTATAAAGAGAGAGATCACACAAACATCTGCACTTGGAAACGCTTAAAAACACCCTGTTTTGTCCATGATATATTTAGTGTTCCACACCAGGTTTTACTTACATTATGCAATCCATTTTTCCGCATGCAGGTCTAATCAATACAGGATCTTATAAAGAAAATAACCGGCAAGGTCTCTGATACCACTGAATTTACTGTCCTTTAAACAGCAGCATCATTTATAGCCAATAAAATTCAAGTGTCACCCATTGTGAGATTAGCATTATAGCTTTATAATGTTTGTTCCTGACAAATATAGTAAGTCACACTCACCAATAAGACCAATAGGCCTACCTCAGAACATAATGCGTCATACAACAGCTTATTGTCTCTAAACAACTTGGAACTTGACCTTCTTCTGTGGAACACTAAACACAATATTTTGAACAATGTTTCTGTCAATACAATGAAAGTCAGTGTGGTCCAAAACCACAGTGGATCCCACTAACACATTTTGTAGAATCTACAGGTTTTGTAGAGTCATACAGGTTTGAAACAACATGATGGTGACAGGATTTTCATTTTGAGGGTGAATTATCTTTATAAAACCATATTAATTGTGAAAAGGCTCGACAATAATTTTTCTTCTGGACTAGTCAGGTATATTTTTACTTGCCCCGCTGCCAATTTCACTGGCCCCAGAACAAAAAACATAGTAAATTTATTATTTGGGATAAACCCCTTGATATGCATCATCTCATTTTCAAGGGGGTCCTACATATTTTACTTTAATACACATCTGTGCATATGTCAGAAAAACATATGCATGATTTGCGACATCTGATATCATCATTCACTTCAATAACATGAGAAAAGCACCTCTGAGTAGTTCTTCTAAATTAGGAATGTGCATTGCCTTCTCATTTATTATCTTTACCTAAAGGGGATAAAAATTCCAGCTGTTCCAGTGAGGATGATGCATGAATTCACACAATCCCCCACAGACGTCAGGAACACTGAGTTCCCCAGCACAGCACAGCCATTTATGCACTAAATATCTGTATGAGCCTATGCCATGAGTGACAGAGACGATTCAGCAAGAGCAGCCCTTAAAGACTGAAGCCTGGAGGAAAGCCAGCTTATCTGATGCTCTCAGTAGAGGCTAGTCAGTGTCTTTGAGCTACTGAAAGAAAGGCCTCACTCATTTGATATCTATGGACGCTTATCATTGCTGAGAAAGACACTGCAACATCACCAAGACTCCATCGAAACATAAACAGTTGTCTATTCAGAGAAGACACAGGCTATAATAAAGCCAGTGGAAATGGCTGGAGTTCAGCTCACAATTAAAGAATTTATGCGTATGGGTGTTTTCATACCAAAGTCCCTTTAAGGCACGTCATTTCACTCGGCGGCCATATTTGAAACGCCTCTCGGGCATGCAAGTGCAGCTCCTATCTCTCTGAATGGGGAAACATCAAATTCTACAAAACTGTTCACCAAGCTTACGATTAAATTTGATATTTGAAATCACCAATGAAATCTGACGACAACTGTCATAAATGTTTATTCAAAAAAAAAGCTTATTTTTCAGGCTAGATCAGCCAGTGCGCATGCGCAGTCCTAAGCACACGTCTCAGAATGCTGAATGTTTTTATAGCGACCAAGACTTTTAACGGCACCTGCAGTGACACGACGACTTTACCGATTAGCAATTGGCTCTTTTATTCAGAAGGCGCGGCTTCCTTCGATATCGAACTTTGCATTTTTCCCCATTCAAAACACGAGTGACATGTATTGGGTATTCTATAGTCTGTGTTTCATACTTAAGTCTTGGTCTTAAAAAAAAAAAAAAATCAAACTTAGATTTAAGTGGACTAAAAAGTATGTTTCCCTTAGCGATGCACCATTTGTTTTTTGTTTTTTTACCAAAACACTGAAACTGAAATTAAAGCAGAAAATCAATATTGTCAACCCAGCCCTAGCATCCACACAGCTGATATATTTACCTGTTGTAGTTTATCCCTGTTTTGCGCATGAAATTAGACATTGACAGTCAAAACGCACCATCGGAGAAGCGCCAACTAAACATCAGTTTCGATCAATGATTTTGGCTGTCCAAAACGGTTTATAAAAAATATTTTCAGCAGCCAAAATTTTGGTGCATCACTAGTTTTCAAGTCAATATCCTTGAAAGTGGGCTATATATCGAACTATGTAATTCAATTTTCTGTTGTAATATCATAGCTAGCATGCAAGTTTGCAAGGTAGTCCAGTCTGGATCCTCAAGCCTTCATTTGTGCTGAACACTTCAGTCACTTTAAAAGGGTCCAGTTCACCTTACAGTTTGTTTGGAATATTCATATATGATCTAAAATTTGTGTGACCCACTCTCAGTGTGTGAAAACACTTAAGAGATAGAATGAAACTTTTCACTGCTCCTCTGTGGCTTTAAACAAAGCATGAGAGCAACTTCTTAAAGGAGACTAACTCAGCAATGAACCTTTTGTCACTTTGGATGGAAAAGCATCAGCAATATGACAGCTTTCAAATTCAAATTATTGTAGTGTCTCTGAGCCCCTGAGAAAGAGGGGTTCAGGTAATAATATGGATAATAGCATGTCTATGTATAGTACACAGAATAAATATCTCATTAGTGTTCCGCACAGTGTGCACAGTATGCGCAGTCCATGACCTATTTTGCAAAGCCACCTGACTCCAAAAACAAACGCATGCAGTCAATCATGACCAGTCTCAGCTACAATCTACTACAGTCTGACACACAAGAACGTTGATGAAGCAAAGTCTGCCTCTGCTTTTATGCAACACCGTACAATCTGACAAGCAAAAATCATAAAAAGGCTGGGGGAAAAAATGGCATGCACCAGAATTTAATAAGTTCCTCCATCTCCTACTGATGTGAGATAAATGTAACATCGTCTGAATATGTAATATGGAGTTCACACTCAATGAAGTGGGGAATCACTTTTATTCAGAGGCCCAAACTTGAGCAAAATTTTGAGTTTGGTGCATTACTTTTCTTATTTATATGTAAATCAATGAGATCTCAATAACAGTAAAGCAGACTACTTAAATAAATTGCATATTATTAGTAAGCATTAGTAAGATATTTAAACGGTTAGATTTATAATCAAAGCTCTGTGGTTTTGAATGTGGGGGGGTGGACAAGACATATAATGCAATGAAAAGAGAGATTGACAAAATCATTCCTCAAAAGCCTGGTGGACCATATTTGAACATATTTTAACATGATTTTTCAAAGAAATATTGGATAATCAAGTTCAGTATGTAATAATCGTGAAATATTAATAACAATATAAAAGTTAGTTTACTTAAAAAAAAAATAATGACCTACAAGACCTTAAGGCGGACGTATTTAGAATTGTACTAAAAGGCCTTTTAAGTGACGTGACGTGGCCAAGTATGGTGACCCATACTCAGAATTAGTGCTCTGCATTTATCTCATCCAAAGTGCACACACACAGCAGTGAACACACACACCGTGAACATGCACCCGGAGCAGTGGGCAGCCATTTATGCTGCGGCGCCCGGGGAGCAGTTGGGGGTTCGGTGCCTTGCTCGAGGGCACCTCAGTCGTGGTATTGAAGGTGGAGAGAGCGCTGTGCATTCACTCCCCCCACCTACAATCCCTGCCGGTACGAGACTCGAACCCGCAACCTTTGGGTTACGAGTCCGACTCTCTAACCATTAGGCCACGACTTCCCCATAATTGCTAAAAGGTATGAACTACGGATCAGATGGCAGAAAGCATGTAGTAGATTGAGTAAAACCGGTTTTTCAGTAAAGTTTTGATCATGTTGACAGCTTAGAGGCCATAGAAATTCATGTATCAAATGTCATACAGTAGAATTTTAAAAATCTGTTTTTGTTTGTTGTTTTGTCAACACTATATGGCACTTCTTCCTTCATCAAAGCTCGGAATGAAAAGACGTGCAAGAATGTGTCATTTCCCTCACTACAAGTGTTTTAAAAACAACTATTTCTTTTGACAGTTAAGGAGTTAAATGAGTGTAATAAGGGATAGTGAACATCACTTTGTTTTGTGTGCAGACGTGCGCTTTCCAGATGACCTGCTGCCTGCTTCCTTCGGCATCTGTGCATGTAAACGTGATCATGTGCTTTGAATGAGAGCAGCGTGGAGCACCTGTAGATTGCGCACAGCTCGAGACACGTAAAGTCCTGTTTCCACTGCATCCGCTTTCCACAACACAAGAAGAGCTCTCCGGCAGATCCTTATGAACGGACACACACAGCGAGAGAGCACCGGGCAGCTCTCTACTGACCCAAACCTCGCGGCTAACGTTAAATGTGGAAATCAATGCAGCGTAGCGCGCTTAAATCGCCAGTTAGAGATCAATGCGCGTGGCTTGGAAACAAATAGTAACAAGCAACCACTTGAGTCACCGCGCACTGTTTACATGTACACGCGACAAATACAGTAGGTGTGTAAGTGAATGGTGCTAAAACACTCATTTATCAAATAAAAGACACATTATACGGCATGTTATTATGAAAACATTAGCATGAGCCGTGTTGTACATACATATTAAGCAATGGCAATTCTTTTAAACCTCCCATTTACACAAGCACGTACTAGCTACTTAATTCATAAGCACAAACAGCAACAGCCAGTGTTGTTCCCTGCTAAAACCGACACATACTTCCTATTGATACCGATTATAGTACGTCAAAGAAAGTGAAATCCATCTGCTAATCTCTTGAACCACAGCAGCAGCGGTATTGCTTGTTGCTAACGGCCTAAATAAATCACAACACTCCTCCACACACACACCGAAACTTACCAGACTTGTCCTGGTCGTATCCCACCACTATGAAATAATCAGCCAGTCTAGCCATGGTTTCCTCTTTTGGCGAAATTCTGCAGCACAATTCAGCATTTTTCTTTCTTCAAAAGCACAGCCATGTTTGACACAGAGGGAGCCAGTGCGCCTGCGTGGACTCGCGTGCCTGGGCGTGGGTCCTTCATTCACTTACACGGGCGATAATGAACATACTACACAGTCATACTGCGGAAAATGATTTTCCTTGACGTGAATAATGCCATGTAATATTATAATAACGCAAAATTAATTACTGTTTATTTATTAATTTAGTCTTAGTGTGGACTATGCAAAAGTATGATCCACAGTATTTCAAATGTAAATGTAAAAGTTCCAAAATAATATTATATACAATATGTGATAATAATAAACAGAGTTGGCCACTACAACTTTTTTTTTTTACATTTATTTCTCAGGTGGGAGAGATGTATTCCAGCTGATCCCTAATGTAGATCAGGGCAGGGCAACTTCGGTCCTGGAGGGCCACTGTCCTGCAGAGTTTAGCTCCAACCCTAATCAAACACACCTGAACAAGCTAATCAATGTCTTCAAGATCACACGAGAAGGCTACAGTCAGGTGTGTTTGGAGCTAAACTCTGCAGGACTGAAGTTGCCCAGCCCTGATCTAGATCCTCTGGACCAGCTAATGACCAGTGTTGGGGGTAACGCATTACAAGTAACGCAAGTTACGTAATCAGATTACTTTTTTTAAGTAACTAGTATGTATTGACTGACAGCTCTTGTGTTGCCATATTGAGAGAAATCGGGAGTATGTGCAGAGGTGTTGAACATGATGCTTACTGTAGTTCTACACTAAATATGAACAGATTCAGTTTTCCTCGAAATTAATAAAAAGTCAAATGCAAATTCAGAACATTATACAAACCTGCAATAATTAAATATGTTAAATAAGACAAATGTCATTTATGTATTTAATCCCATTTTATTAACCAATGTTTTTGCTGCTGACCTTCGATGATCCAATTCAACCATACTAAGCAAAAATGACACATTTGTGTTTCATTTTTGTTATTGCTGAATAGTGTTGAACTTTCTTCTCCTGCGTCATATTCTTCATGCAAATTGTTTGAGCTGCGCCCTCTACTGTACAGATGTGAATTCACTTTTCCTTCAGCCTGAGGCTCATCCATTTCACTTTTGTTGTGAAAGGGCTTTTACATTTGTAAAAAAAGAACTTTTTATATTAAAAACAAACAAATAAGCCCAGCCCAGATTTAAAAAGTAACGCAAAAGTAACGTAACGCATTACTTTCCATAAAAAGTAACTAAGTAACGTAAATAGTTACTTTTTTAGGGAGTAACGCAATATTGTAATGCATTACTTTTAAAAGTAACTTTTCCCAACACTGGCTAATGACCATACATCATCCAGTTAGTAAACAAGTAATAGCCTACCAGCTATCAGTAGAAGGGTAACACATGGACCATATATAATCTCATTTATGCAGAATAGAACAGGAAAGTGAATATTAGGAAATATGTATAATAATCCACCATAAAAAGTTTTAAACACTGTCCCACTCTAAATATTTGTTACAACAGACCCTCACAAATAATTTACTGAAATTTTACCATCCAGTTCTCAATGAAAAACTAAAATAAACATTTCAAATTATTGATTTATATTCTTTATTCTCATTAAGAATAAAGTGTTTTTCCATGTGAAGTGCCTAAAATCCAATTCACCTTGCTAAAAAAAATAAAAGAACTAATAAACTATTCTAAAATAGTTGTTTAGCTTATCTGTACAACAATTTAATGCTGCATAACCTTTACAAAAATAATGCTTTGCTATTTATTAATATATGTGATTATACTTTGTTATATGAATGCTACTTTGATATATAGATTGATTGCCATATTAAATTATTATTGTAATTTATTGTATCTAACAAGGTACTACCATCGTAATACCATGGTTTGTTCAGACTATTTTTCATCTGTTTACACACACTCTAAAAAATGCTGGGTTAAATATAACCCAGCGCTGGGTTAAAAAGGGATTGGGTTGAGCAATTGGGTTGTTTTGACCCAGCAGTTGGGTTGTTTTGACCCAGTGATTGGGTTGTTTTGACCCCGCGATTGGGGTATTTTGAACCCAACGCTGGGTCAAAACAGCCCAATTGCTGGGTTTGTCCCTTTTTAACCCAGCGCTGGGTTATATTTAACCCAGTATTTTTTAGAGTGCATGATCACTCTAAAACAACAACAGTATGAAGCATAGAGATGACAACTCAATGACATCAGGGTGTTTAGTGACTCATTGTTAACTGTAGCATTCCTAGGCATGTAACACAAGACCTACGTCCCACCTGCATCTGTGGGTTCCCTCATCATACTTCATTAAATATCAACAATCCTTGTGATGGCTACGGTATGTTGATTTGGCAAACAATATTTACCATATTTGGGCTGAGAAGCAAACAACTGGATGGTGTCAGTGTGTGGATGTTGTGCAATCTTTGACTTCCCATATAAGGATAAATCAGGGTTGCACAGTAATTAACATGAGCTAATGACATTTTTGTGAAATACATGTTGGCTGTTCTATGAAAAATCACACAAATTAATTTTAGAAATTATTTTATCAGAAGAATTTAATCTGATCTAGTCTAAAGTGAGTGGGGGAAACTAGGTGAAGGTCAGTAGGCATTCTCCCAAAAAATTTTAATGTATTGTTATCTGTGTTTATTATCCAGAAATAGAGAGTCTTGCCTCTTACATAGAAAATCTGACAAGTGTAACTCAAAGGCACTTTAGTAGTCTTAGATCAACTCTTTGATCAAATCTTTCTGTACTGTTATATAAAACTCTTCCGTTTTATATCTGATCTTATTGGACTATTAAAAATTATTTTCTTTAATAAATAATTATTATATTATATTACATTACATTATATTATATTATATAAAACCAGATTGATTGCACTGGCCATTATTTTTATGCAGAATAGTACTTTTATGTCAAGTTAAAGATTTGTCTTTTTGTCTTTGTCTGACAGATAATAGTTGTACCCCCAACCAACACCCAGATTTAAAAATCATGAGCAATGTAATAGAAGAAACTGAATTCATTGTAACATTGAGATTTTTAAAAAAATCAAAGAATTTCCCAGATTGGCAGTTGGTTATTATTCCCAGAAACTCTGATAACAATCCATTAAGTAATTTCAGCAATAACCCATGAATAGCCCCAGTTTCGTTTTGCTCTAATTGAGATTGTTATAGAGAGGAAATGCTGGGATGAGAGAGCGTGTTAGATATGCCCCTCCCATCTCCCTGCAGTATAAATTCACTTACGCCTGCTGTGGAGAGTCAGACTATTAGCAGAGTATCACCACTGCAACAGCATCAACAGCAAGTGAAACGCCTCTGGATTACTTTCTACACAGACTTCTGAAGCCAACCCAAGAGTACTTCAACACAGGTATGCATTTTTAAAGGAAGCTTATGTGTTTCTGTTAGCTGCTCAGTGTCTTTTCTTTTAGAGTCAAGGCTCATATGCATAGGTTATCTGTAGTTATATAAGAAACCGAGTCCCAGTTTTGCATCTATAAGCCAGGGAACTTGCTTCTGTCTGTTAGGCAAAAACTTAATCTCATTTGAAGGGAATTTGAGTGATTTTTTTAATTAGGTGCGGATGGAGTTAAAGACACTGTGTTTTGTAAACACCCACTGTTTTGTACATCATTGTCCCTTTTACTGCTTATCAGTGACCTGAAGCACAGTTGCAAGTTTACTTATTCATAGAAAGTGCGACCTCAGTTTGACATTGTAAATAAATGCATGATGAATGTAAATAGCGTGGATTTTGGACTCTTATGCAAGCGTGAGCAAAGCATGGTTGGCACAGAGTAGGGGAGTTGCATGCAGGTTTCAGCTGCTTCCTTTCAAAGTGGATATCTAACAGATGATTCATTTGCTTTTTCCTTCAAGGTTTCAGTCACGATGCAACTGATTCTGCAGTCAATCTTCTGCTGCTGCCTGCTGGCCACCTTTGCATCTGGTGTGGACAGTGCAAAACATGACCTGAAAAGAAGGTAAGCTGATGTGTTGATTTAGGATTTTTAGTCAGGGTTGGAACTGGTTGAAAAGTTTCTAATGAACATGTTTTCTCTTCTTGATACTTAGTGTCCGTCTGCAGAGATCAAGAAGGGATTTGAGCCTTGCTGCACTGAGGACTTTAGACAACAGCCAGTTTGTCAGACCGGACGATGTCAAAGACAACTTAAGGCCACATTCCAGGTAAGAATTACCAAGCGTTACCAGCTGAAAATTATGTCATTGTCTTCTCTAAGTTAAGTGTAGTTTCACATGATGAAGCTGGAATACAAACTTGTCAACCAAGGAACATTAAACTAAAAGCAATTGCTCAGGAACTCCATGCAGGCATTCGGACAATGTCAAAGACAACTTAAGGCCACATTCCAGGTAAGAATTACCAAGCGTTACCAGCTGAAAATTATGTCATTGTCTTCTCTAAGTTAAGTGTAGTTTCACATGATGAAGCTGGAATACAAACTTGTCAACCAAGGAACATTAAACTAAAAGCAATTGCTCAGGAACTCCATGCAGGCATTAATGTCCTCTTCCCTTGTCTGCCTTTCCAGCACTGACATCAGCATAAGGACAAAACGCTCCAAGAACTCCATCAACCAGTCCAGGAGAGCGGGCTGCTCGCTTGGCACCTGCACGGTGCATGTGCTGGCACACCGTCTCCATGACCTCAACAACAAGCTGAAGATCGGGAATGCACCCGCTGACAAGATCAATCCCTTCGGGTACGGCCGGCGGCGAAGGTCCGTTCCAGAGAAAGTAATGACACTGCGACAGGAGGGCAGCAGGCTGCGGATGGTGTGGAGCAGCTCAAACTCTCAATCACGGCTGCACAAGCTGGAAGCGCTGCTCAGACGGACGTGAGCGCACAGGGTGGGAGCGCTCGGGGACGCTGCGACAGAGGCTCGCCGGCCAGCTATGAAATTCTAGAAATGCCTCAGACTCCTGCCAAGAGTTCTCCAGCGCATTCTTTTCCAAGCACAGGGGCTGGAAGAGCAATCTTGCCTTCCTCGGAAGAGAAA